ACTGGTAGATTAAAACCGCTAGGGAGGTACAATCTTTTGGTGAGCAACACAGCCCACTACAGACTATATCACCAGAGCTCCCTTTCCTTTTTGGGGAGCACACAATCAGTTTATCATTCAAACAGCTGCTATTCAGTTTACCACTGATCTTTGTTACTGTGCATTTCTGCTGAACTTGGTTGATTTTGATAGATACTGTTGAGTAGAATATGGCTCATAATGACTCCATGAACAACAGATCTTAATCCTGGCCTGTACCATCCTTATACTTAATGGCATACTTGAGCTCACTGTTCCAGCCACTGGGTCAATTCACTTGGTTGAAAGTTTTCCTTTCCTTCTCTGTCCTTCCATCTTTCTAAGCATGAGGTCTCTTTCCAAGTAATAACATCTCCTGGCAACATGATCAATGTATGCCAGATGAAGCTTTATCATTTTTGTCTTCAAGGAACATTCTGATTGAACCTCTTCGTTCTTTTGTCAGTCCACAGGATATTCAATAATATCTCTTCTCCCACTATCTCTCCACTCCCCCTGTGATGTTGGTGTTTCTGTACAGCATGGGTGTGATGTCTTTTTGATGAAGTCTTCTCTCCTGAAGTTGGTTGTCTCCCTTTGTCTCAGAAGTAGTACGAGACAAGGGGCTCCAATGTAAGCATTTGTCTACTTTCATGGTCTGCGGAGTGGTGCAGCCAGGATCCTCAACTGTTTTCTCTACTCTCTGTGATGGTTGAGTGGCAGGTCCTTGACTTCACTCTTGTTCTAGGTATAGGTGATGTCTTGACAGGACCTTGCATATTGGTGATACCATTGATTCTTCATTTCAAAGTCATATGGTAAACTATGTATATCATGCCTTTTTATATTTAATCTCTTATTTGTGACACTTTGGAAATGAGGACAAACAGTTTTTAGGAAGAGTACATGTAAAGTATTTTCTTCTGAGCTTTACTTACTTGAAGATAATGGTTTGTTTGTTAGCAATGAAAATATAACTCTCTAAGTAGATAACTATTTTATCACAATCTATTTCCTGGCAAATGTTGTATTATGCAATCCATTGTTTTCTGAGATGTGCACTGTAGAGAACTCTGAAAGCTTCTTTTATAGTCTTTTAAAAAAGCATATTCTGTGTACAAGTTGTAGAATTTCCCCATTCTCCCTTTTAATTATAAGTTTTGTTAAATATTGGGATATTGATTTCATTTTTTTCAGTCTTTATTTTCAATTTATATACTTAGACCTTTATTTCTAAAAGTTCACTTATCTTTTGAGCTTTCCTTTTGTCCTCAAAGTGATCAACTAAGTTATTAAAATGGTAAATGCATTGTAGGTTGGGCTGATGATTGAGAGAAGATAACGTGCAACAATTAATAAAAAATATTAAAATTATAAAATGTTGACTTAAAGTGCCTAATGTGGATGACAGCTCTGTTAGCTTATACGAAGTTATAAAGGTTGTTTGAAAGATTTGATGTTTCCGAAGAAGTACTGGGAGAACCCTGGTGTGGCCTAGTTCCTGCTTTCACAGAGACAATCACAAAGGGATTTTCATAAGCATGTGTGCTTACTCTGTCCTTAGTTTAAACTTGGCATTAATTTATTTGACCTTATCTCAAACCTCCTCATCCTCTTCCCTGCCTCCACACACTCTCCACTGTATTCATGCCCAGGCTACTTTTCTAGTCCCTGAACAAGCTTAGATGACTCCCCTCAGGGAATTCTATATAGGTTGCTGTTTCCTCTCCCTGGAAAACCCTCCTCTAAGATCAGACTCCTTGACTACTCTTGCACACATCTTTTTATATAATTCTATTGGACTCATAGAATTTGTAACTACTTTATATTTTCTGGGTTTTGACTATTTCTTGTCACTTAGAAACTTTATTACTGAAATTCTAATCTACAACATTTCCTAAATGACTGGTTACTTTTTAATTAATGAGTGGCTCCAAAAAGAAAATTTGGCCTTAATATAAAATATAAATATATATCTTCTTTAAAGTCTAGCAGTTTTAATTCTAAGGAAAAATAATAAAATTATATATGTTATGCAAATATTACATTTACGTTCTGTAATTTCTTTTTATCATAGAATCAATCACTGTTATATTTAATATTTAACTTAAATAATTGTAAAAAAGATAAATATGTAAAGACAGACTTTTTTGAATGACTGTATATCTCTTGCAGAATGCTATTTAAGGTATTAATATTAATTATAAATATCTTCAACAAACATCCTATATATTACTCCATACTGTATATGACAAGTTTCAGAGGAATACTTTCTTCTGAATTTAAAACCATGTTTTCTTTGCCAAAAAAGTAAATGTGACTTAATATATTACTCTAACCATATTTTACTCTCAAGAATTCCAAGGCGAATTAGTTCATAATTACAATAACCACGTCCTCTTAAGTGCTTAACAAGTTCAAGAACTCTCCTTTTAGGCTAGCAGGTCATAATTACTTTCAGAATCAGTGAATGGAAAGGATCATCTTTTAAAAAACACGTATGTTAAAGAACACATACAAGTGTGCAGAAATAGGGATAATATTGCAGGGAACTTCACTGAGATTATTGATTAAGACTAAAAATTTCTGCTTCAGACAATTTTGTTATTTTATCCTCAAGTGTGTGAAATTGCATTGCTTCACATGTCTTTCAGAAAGAAATAAGGAAGGCTATTTAAATTACGGTGAGACTCTGTTCAGTTTCTTATTTTGACTTATACATAACCTTGGGAATCAAGGTTGAGAAAGTCAGACAACTCTTTGTTCAATCTTTATTCGTTTCCATATTCATTTTTACACACAAAGTTTAGTCCCATATGGATGCAATATAATGTGGAAAAACACTAGAACTTTTTATAAGTTATAGTTTAGCTTCCCATATTTAAGTTCCTCATTAACTTTTTTAGAGTTCAAAGTAAATAGTGTGCCATCTTCTTCCCTAAAGAGAACTGTATACCAGACTCTGGAGAGCTCTGTGAAAGAGACAGCCTATGACACAAGTCATGCTTCCTTTAGAATTACTTAATCTCACTGTTTAGATTTTGAATTAGTAAATCACAAAGTAGATTTCCCAAACTTAACTGGCTTTGAATCAGTATGCTAATCTACACTTTAATGCATATAATATTAAAGTCCACATGGACTTAATGAATCATATTTATTATTGTCTCTATTTCAAATATCAAAATTTGAAGGAAAATAACTTTCTAAGTTAGTAAAATAGCACAATCAAAAGCTCTATTTCTTTTTCTCATAAAATACTAAACCTAAACAACCAGGGTAAATGGTAATAGAAAATTGTCATGAAATATCATTTCTCAAAAAATAATATTAAGGATATTATGAACATATGTACATTGTTCTTAGCTAAACTTCAGGAAATCAAAAGTGTTTACCTTTGAAAACAGAACTATTCAATGCCTTCAGGCTTCAGTTCTGGACCTTAGTTTGAGCGTAGGGCGTCACACATAGATGATCTTCTGGTTTTGAAATGAAAGAAAATGGAAGAATATCTCTGGAAGGAAAACTTAGGTCACTTCTTTCTTAACACATAACTATGTGAGGATGTGTATGTATGGAATACACTTAAAGTTTTTACCACTCTTTTTTGCCAGATGTGAAAAGAAATTCTAAACATAAATAGTCTGACTTTTAAGAAAGCCAAAAATAAGAATGAGATATTTAAAATTATAATTCATTTAACTAGCAAAACCAAAATATATTATCTTGTTTAGTGATTTGCGGTCATCCTTTGTAGACTATATTTAGTCAGCAACCAAACTTTAATTTTTAATTAAGATATATTAAAATTCAATTATCAGCAAATAGCAGTGATAAAGTTTTTAAAAAATCATAAATGTAAAAAAAATAACACTTTTAACCATAGTAAGAAGTTCTTCCATGAATTTGGGAATCATGGTGACCTTATCACTTCAACCATATTCACCCCAAGTAAAAATTTCTAGCAACATCTCTTTTTAATGATAATACAAGAATAGATGTTTATACAGGAATAGCCAGAGTTGTTATTTTTCAGATCTGAAAGACTCTCAAACTTTAAGAACCACCAAATATGAAAGGAACATAGCAAATTCCAATGCAGCATACATATAATGAAATTAATTCATTTATCAGAGGTGAATACAATGTTGAATTTGGATTTCCTTAAAGGAAGCATAAGACAACAGAGACCTGTGGAAGTGAAACTGTACAGTACAGAATTCAAACAATATATGAATTATAATGGAAAACAAAAGCTTTATAAAAAATTGGATTTTGGCCTGCCTGACATTTAGATATTTATATGTGTGTGTGTGTATAGATATATATATATATATAGATAAAAATCAGCTTGCATGAGTGCCATAATATATCTACTTTAAAGTTATATCACATATACTATAAGCAATTTACAGATTTTGTTAAGTTTGCATATACAGGAATTATGAAATGAATTACTAGACATGGAAATATAGAACACTGGAAATCATCTAATAAGAACCTCCTTGAATTAACAAGGATTGGCCATAATCAGCATTTACCACCATTGAACAAGATATTTGAAAAAAATAGAAAGTATTCAATCAAAAAAATGACAATTAAAAAAACACAACACAATCCTTTGTTGTTTCTTGTTTAAAATAAAGTCCTCTACATTGGCTTGAAACGTTGTTCTTGTCCCAACACAGGCATTTTGTTTGACCAGAGTTTGCTCTGTATATTTAAGAACTCTATTTGATTCCTTGGGTGAGAGGGTCTTTGAATGAATGGTTTCCTTAGTAAATATTTACTAGACAGAAAACATTCAGGCCAATCCCTGAGCAGTCAGTGAGATGATGCCTTGAGTTGCAGAAAGAAAAGAGGTGGGGAAAAATCTTGCTGTTGGAATTATGTCCTGTCGCATAACAATAATTCACTTGAAATAAAAAGATCATTGATTTGCGAAAGAAAATATCAACAAAACGTGTGACAGCCTCTTCGTTTATACTTCTTGAAGCAGGCGCTCCTTGTGTAGGTAACTAGAGTACAGAGGGTGCAGGGTGGTGCTTGACGTTTAGGGTCAACTTTGCTGTCTGCTCCGTAGAATTTACAGGCGATTTGCTCTTTGCTTTAAGAAGAGAAAGTGATATTGGAAAAAAGTCAGCACTTTAGATTAAAGCAAAGCACCCTTCACAAAGCCACAAACAAGAAGCAGGACAGAAAGTCCATGGCTTGTAGCTATCCTCGCACCTGCGGAAGAAGTTATAAGATATTCGCTCATCTTGAAGATTTCCAATGCTCCTTATTAGGTTGTTTTAAACACATACATATATATATATATTTAATTAGCTCGCCTGCTTGGCTCTGGTGCTCATGAATGTCTTGGCATGCACTGCAAATAACAACACATACAAAGTATTTCAGTCCCAGGAAGTTGGTCTTTTTAGTTCTGATTTCACATAATGCCTTCCTATGGCTGGGAATAACTGAGGGACAGATCCAAATTCTTTTCTCTCAAGTGATTCCTTAAGGATTAATGTGGATTGCCATTTGATAGTCCCTACACTGGAACCTAAAATCTAAAACTATATTTTCTGTTTATTACTGTGTAAGCATGAAAGTACATGAGCGAGCTAAAATAAAATTGAACCCAGCACATTTTATAAGAGTGTGGACGTGTTTTAGAGTGAGTGCATTTGGATATGTTACTTACTTTTAGAGCCAGATGTTTATGAAATGTACATACTTGAAGGCTGAGGAAACATTAACACTCTCAAAAATTAGGAATTCTGACAGAGCTCCAGCGCTAAGTAAGTGAAAGGATTAACTTGCATTTTTTTTTCATAAATTTTGCCCTGTAAACTCCAAGTACAAGCAATGTAATAACTACCTTTACATACTTATTTATGTATTTTATCCAATAAACTCGTAAGTAACAATATATTAACTAATTTTATTTACATGTAGAAATACATGTAAAGTAAAAAAGGTGGACTTGTGATAAGATTCAAACTATGTAATTCTTTTTAAATTATAATGAAAGAAAAGCTGGATGAATTTGAAGAGAGTAAAAGTGGAAGAATTTAATCTCTAAAATATTTCAGATTCACATCAATGATAAAAACTGATGCAAAACCATGCAGTCCATACAGTCATGCCAGCGTAAATATGTGGGAGTCCTAACATGGCCATTTAGGAGATTCATGTTGCTATTTTCCCCCTGTTACATTACTTCAGTATGTTGGCATTAATTTACTTTTGTAAAGTGAGCTATTGATTGAACAAACTGTCTCCTGACAGCCTTATAGTGATTGAAGATCCAGGAAGTTTGTGGTTAGTCTCTAGAGGACATTCTTTCATTACAGCTTAGTGACAAGTTTCAAAATGCAAACTGATATCTGAGTCCTTGTATAGATCTAAGTACAGCATCAGGCAAGGAGAACATACCCAATCTATATGGAACCATGCCCCTTAGTTTTTCAAATGAAACTGTATTCTTAGAATCTTTGAAGAGAGATACTTTAATCAGGATATATATAAATATATATGCCTTCTAGTCAGAACTAACTCATAGCTGACCCTCTAGTAAGTTTTCGGAGGTAATTAATTCCATAGGAAGATATAGACATACATGCATAGATGTAATCATTATATGGCTCTTTAAATAGCCAATGACACTTGATTTGATACAAAATATCTAGATTTTTAATTAAAAATTTATAAATGCTTTAGGAAATAAAAGTGGATAAAATAGTTGTTTTGGTCTTTAAATTCTGAAATGCTGGTTTCCCTTACAGTCTGGGCATGACAATGATCTACATTTTCTGAATTTGTGTCATTTGTTGCTCCCTTCACAGGAAATTACTGGCCTCACATCCCTAGAAAATAGTTCATGTTTCATCCAATATTTCCTATAATATGAAGTCTAGTATGTGCAAGTTAAAGCAAACATTATATAAGTGTTCTAATTAGAAAATAAACTATTAATGTACTAATTATAATTTTAAGGCTAATAGAAATTTAAAACACCATCAGATATGAAATGTAGCATTGCAATATGGTACTTTGTTACAGGCTATACCCAGTCATCCATCTAGACACAAAGATTTTCATTAAAATTTAATTCTGTAAGGCAGGTTATAGATAAAATGTGGGTTTTTTTAATATACAGTAAATTGGTATAACTATTTTTCATCAAATAACTTGTGTTTATCCTTTACACATAGTTTGTGTAATGGATATTAAATTTTGAGAGGCACATATTAAATACATAAGCAATATGGGCATGTAACCCCAAAGCCCTTCAGACAAAATCTGACTGTTTTGTGGTTTGTGCTGTGTTATTTTGACAAATAATTGTTTTAGCCATGTTCATTCAAGTTCCATCTGTATTAATAATATTAGTACAATCTTTCTAACAGTTCCACCTGTATGAATATTGTTTCTCAAAGTTTCACACTCTGTTGGACAGAAACTTCATATTTTGTAAAAGGAGAACACTGCTGCACACACCGGAATCTCATTTTACTTTTGGAACATTTTATTTTTGTACAGTGAGAGTTAGATTAGAATAGCAGCCAGGAGCCCCAAGAACTCTAATTTCCTTTGCTGCCTATTGCATTTCAGATTTCAAAGGAGATACTGCTACATTTTCTAAAATGAGCACAATGACTGTTCATGTGTTACATTTTTCGTATTAGCATGTCAGATACTACTTTTGAACAGGAAGCCTCCTTTACTTTTATTTGCTTTCTTTTGCTTTATGTACAGGCCAATCAATATAACCTATTACACCTCTTATTTAATCACAACTTGTTAATTAACTTTGACCCTCCATGACACTGTTGTCTGCTGAGTCCGTTCTTACCAGATGATTGTAAACTATCTCTCCTCCCAATTACAGAATTATTTTGTTTTTGTTTTTCCTATGGCCTAAGTAGACTTCTAATTAATTATATTTTATTTCTCTGATGAAACTATATACTCATTAACAATAGAGGTAAAAATTTAACATTTTTTATTATTCTAAATATCAAAAACAATGCTGAACAGTTTTTAGACTTTCATAAAAAGTATCCCACATAAACTACCCTAAGAATAAGAAAAAGAGATGCTCTTATCCCAATTATGTGAAGGAAAAGTGAAAATGGTCACAAGTATAGATGAAGAGTAAGTAGTCAAACAACTGAGATATTTATTTTCAGATGCCATTTCACAACATCCCTTTACTTTGATGAAATGATAAAGCTTTTAAATTTCTTCTTCTTGCGTAAAGACATTCATGCTTTCGTATATGAAATTCCACATGGCTTTGAAAGAAGACAAGATATTAGCGGGAGATATTTTCTAATTTGCAAATGGAAAAGTTAAAGAAGTCCTCTTAGAAGTCTAAAAGTAAGGAATTTTTCTTCCTTTTCTCACCTCACATATGCTAGCTTGTGTTGATATTTCCTACTCTGAGATGAGGACAAGTAACCATTTCTCCAGAGGATGTCTGTGACAAATGAGAATTTGACCAAGAAGAGACAAACAAAAAAGCAGAAAGAATATTAACTATAATAATTGTTTTGTAGAATAACAGAAAAAACCATACACACTTTTAAAATGAAATAAAACACAACACAATCAAACACGTAAAAGTAATGTTTGAGATCTTAATATCTCCAGCAATTAGGCTACTGGCAATAGTGCTTCCATTGTCTTCTGTATATCTGCTACTGTAACTTCTGTGCTTTCCTATATATTTGCAGAGGAAGTTGTTGCCATGGGGAAGTTATTGCCTCAACTACTTAAATTGAGTGGAACTTCCTGCCAAGAATATCCACAGTAATAATTCCCCTTTTTCTTGCACCTGGTTCTTTTCATCACTGACAAATGGACCATTGCCATCAAGCGGATCCCAACTAATGGTGACTCCATTGTGTTATGGTAGAACTAAGCTCCATAAGGTTTGTCAAAAACTAATTTGAAAGATTCACAACTCCCTAGAAGGGGGTTTCAGTGAATCAGAATGGACATGCTGTCTGTGGATCTGATATTTATTTGATTGCTGTCTATCAGAACCAAGATGGTGCCGGGGGGCGGTCTTTTTTTCCCCTGATAGACTTTTGGGTATACTGGAGCCTCCAACTCTTAGGTTAGCCACTGAGCAAGTTAACTGGTGACACCACCAAAGAACTGCTCCATCAGTGTTGTCTGCCTTGTATATATGTACAGAGATTAATGGTGGCTCAGTCCATAGAGATTACCACTGCTAACCCAAAGGCCATTATTGGATATTTTCTCTTGTTGAAGCTAGTGTGTACAAGGGCTATAATGTTTTGTGTATATACTATGTGTCAGGTAATATGCATTATGAACTTTGCATATATGGCTTCTGTTAATTTTCTTGATAAACAGCTATAACAAAATGATTAATCATTCTTTTAAAAATCAGGAAATTATCTCATTAATATGAAATAACTCAGCCTAATTTACATGAATAATAGGTTGACTCAATGTTACTCAGTCAGAATCAACTCATAGCTGATGCTCCAGTGGGTTGTAAGAGGCTAAAATGCACTGGAAGAGATTGCTCATCTTTCTCCTGCAGGGTAGCGGAACCTCATGCCTTTGGGTTGACAGGACAACAGTAATGCAGTCAAGTCAGCATAGGCTTCTTTCTGAAATTCCCAATTTATGCTAAAGTAATATATATGAAACTATTATTTCAATATATGCTGATCTTTTCAGGGGAAAGGAATCTCTCTCTCTCACACAAACACACACACACACACACACACACACACACACTGTTGTCAAGTAGGAACACACACACTGATGTCAAATAGGAAGAGACTCATAAGTTACTCTTTACTGGTTTTCACAAACTGTATATTGTATGTGAGGAGATTGTCCATTTTTCTCTCAGAGAGCTGCTGGTAGATTCAAGCAGGTAGAGAGGCATGACCTTTGGGTTAACAGTACAACTCTTTGATAAACACAAAAGTGTTCCCTGAATATAAAATACTTAGAGAAAAATATTTTATACATTTCTCTTTTTCTAGATTCTGAACTTAAAAAAAAATATTTGACCTAAAAATAAAAGCATCTTGGTTTTCCTGCATACTAAATTTATTTTAATCTTTATAATATATCAAATGTTTTCTAATATAACATTACTTAGAAATGTTTATATCATAGACTTACAGAGATTAAATTTTCTTCAGAATTGATTAAAATATATGGGAGAGCAGTGGATCAACAATTAC